CAGCAAGTTGTTGCCCTGCCTCATATTTGTCATCAATCAGCTGTATGAAATGTCAGATGACCCACATAGGTCTGGGGCGGGGCAAGTGCGTTAAATGTATTAATAATTATAACACGTTATTTTTCACTGTAATTAATTCATGTAATTAACACGTTAAATTACCAGTCCTACTTTAAACACATTGAACCAACTAATGGAGGTCTTCAGGATCACTAGAAACTTTCATGCGGATGTGTTTGAGCTAAACTCTGCAGGATTAGACATCCCTGCAGAACCTCATTTTACTTACATTGTCAAGCTGGTATTGATTGCTGGCTTAGAAATATTGTCCACTAGAAATTGTATCAAAAGGGGCTTTTGCACAGGAGGAAACTTTTCATAGGAGGTACCTGCTTTTTGACGTGTACACAACGCAGGAACTAGGAACGTATTGAGTTCTAAGAACTTTGTTTGGGGGAACTACATTAGCTCCTACTCCAGAGTAGGGTCTAAAACAATTCTATAGGAACTACCAGTCACGTAAGTGTACACTGACTGGCCAAACACATACGAAACACTGGCTACCCAGCATTTTTAAAAATCAATGTAAAAATATTTACTCCACGAACACAGCGATAGCGGCATTTAGCTACCTGTTGTCTGCAGCGTCGTGTTCTTTTCTCAGCCTCGATGATTTGTAACACTGCAAGTTGTCATAAAAGATTTAGTCAGATTTTCATGCTCTTTCAATCGCGTAAATTGTGTGTTTACATTCCATCTCAGTTATCACTAAACCCACGACAACAACAAAAACAGCTTCATCATGGCATCCTCCTTTCACCAGTTGTTAACGTTTGTAAATGCCGTGAATAAAAAGACGTCGCCGTCAGCCACTTCAGAGTGCATGCTGTTCCTGGTGAATGCAACCAGGAAAATGGCAACCAGGAAAATTGGTTCTCTAGGAACCACCATGCTGGCTAGTTCCTAGAACTACGCAGTGCGAAAGCCACTAAATAGTCTTTAAAGGGACAGTTCACCCAAAAATGGAAATTCTGTAATTAATTACTCACCCTCATGTCGTTCCAAACCTGTAAGACCTTCGTTCATGTTCTGAACGTAATCCAAGATATTTTTTATGAAATCCGAGAGCTTTCTGACCATGGGCGTCGCTAGGCCATTTTTAGGAGGGCTTTAGTCCCCCTTAATTTCTACTCGGCCCCCCTAAAAATGTTGTGATTAGCTCCATAAACTGTACACAAATTCATGATCGCCTCAGTCCCCTTTAAATTTCATATGAAAACAGCGGCAGACTTGGGCTCCGCCCTGTCTTTCAGCGAGTTCTTCAATCCACAGAGCGAGAAACAGAGGACGATGTGTGTGTTTATCAATAGATTGATATAATATCTGCATCTGTGCAGTTCTTTTTCATAAATACAGTTTACAAAATTTCATGGGGGAGCAATCGGTTTCCCATCTACTGTGACGTTTTCGCTCCATTCACCCCTCATCACACCAGTTTCCTCCAGCGAAAATGTAGCCCTTAACACATATGAACGCATACTTTATAAAACGATCATGTTGCTATTTTCATTTGAAAATTGAACTTTCAGTATAAAATAGTGATTAAAGACAGTGACAGACAGCACTTGAGCATAGAAAGAGGTTTGTATAGCCTAAAGAAAGAGGTTTGTACTAGAAATGCAAACAGTAAAATTTTGTGTTTGTACAGTAAACAGGGGTGTGTGTGTGTTGTGATCAGGAAGACTTGTATTTGGCTTATTCATTACTCAAATGTTATACGTCTATGCAATACAGTGGAATACTGCAATAAGTTTAGTATACCACCCTACCCTGTTAGTCAAACATTTTTTATTTAATTTGTGTTATTATTATTATTATTATACCCTCATTGGGGGCTGAGCCCCCCTAAAATGAAAATCCTAAAATCGCCCCTGTTTCTGACCCTGCATAGACAGCAACGCAACTGACACTTTCAAGGCCCAGAAAGGTAGTAAGGACATTGTTAAAATAGTCTATGTGATCGGGGTTTAAACCATAATGTTATGAAGCTACTGGGATACTTAAAAATAATACAAAAATAATGACGTTATTCAAGAATTTGTTCTCTTCCGTGTCAGGCTTTGCCGTGTGTTTAGGAGAGTACCACGAAACATGCGTGTGCAGTAATGGCAGAATTTTCATGTTTGGGGTGAACATTTCATATAATGATAAGGACCCTTTTGACCACCCTTCATTGTCTAATATTGTAGTTTAAAAGATATTCTGGACTCCAAACCATGATACGCCCCACTCCACCCCCTCCATATTTCTTTTTTTCCATTGGCCTAAATGCTCACTCTGATCTAATTGTCCTCTGTATAAGGGGCCAAGACCTAATAGGTCACGTCTAATGTGCTGAGATTGCATAATGCACAGTGACAGATCTACAGTACAAAGTCTTGGCAGTCTCTAGAGATTCGCTGTGGGGCCCCACACAGGTGGATGTTTGCTTTGCCTGCTGTGTTGCATTATTATAGTGACTGTGATTAAGATCGTAATCTTCAGCTTAAGAGTGTAAGCTTCCAGGTCAACCCACCAGCATCAGACAGGCTTTTCCGCTATACTGATGGCAGCCAATTGTAGCATCTAGTCCATTGTGAAATGGGAGCCTGAGGCTATGAACGAGAGATAGAGGAAGAGTAGCCTCCACAAAAGGACCGCTCATGCAGCAGGCAATATTCAGAGACCATGGGCCCCTGTCTGCACTCATTTATCCAGACGATCTTGCCTTTCCACATGTAGGGCACCATGCTGTGGTTCCACATGTAGGGATTGTGTTTTCTGTAGATGGTTAGCAGTGCTTGCTAAGACAAATTTGGTGCATAACTTATCCCTTGTTGTCTACGCTACGGGCATCAATGATATCTCAAATAGTATGGCTTGTTGAGTACAATTACAGTTCACCTGGCAGACAACTGAAACATAATAGACTGAAGATCTAGACCCCAAATACTATCAGATACTTTGGGTGGACTGTTTTGACTTTTGCTTGGCATTGTGGTGGTGACTTTTGCAAAAAAGTGCTGCAGCAACTTTTGAAAGAAAAAGAGAGATGAGGGTGGTACAGTTAGAAATAGTACTAAAATTGGAATGGCAATCATCAATGGAAGGGCAAGGTGAGGAAAAAAAGAGAGACAATTCAGCCCAGCACTACATTCTAGGCTTTGAGTTTTCTGAGTTGTGTGTGTTCAGGGTCACTGCTCTCAGCTGAAAGGAGAATAGAGCTTAAATGCCCAGTCAGGCGTGAGCAGCCATGACCTACAATCCAGCATCAACATTACCTCATGCATACTAACACTACACTTTCATATACTATAACTATAGGAGCTTTGTGATATAGCCAAGAATTTACTTATCATCTGCAAATGTGAACAGTTAATGAATTATGAGTTGCACTGACATTATGCCAAGTGATGTCATTTTTTAAAGCTTTTACCCAGCTAATCTTTAAGATTTGTTTTGGTTAGCATTTTGTATGTGGCAGTTTGGACTTTATTTTGATGAGTTTACCTCCAAAAATGGCATGGGATTTCTTCAGTTTCTGCAGTTTTTGTTTCTGATTATGATCCTGGTTAATGTATCTTGTGAAGACCTTAAATGACCCCAACAAACACAACATCTGCTGTCCAGCTGCCGGTAACCTGCTTAAATAAGCAACCGCTGTGCTAGTTCTATAAGCTAGCACCATAAGTGAGCTCTGTAAATTTGGGTCAATAGCAGAGAAGTTGGTCTAATGCTAATGAAAGGTCATGGTTGCTCGCTGTGGATTTTGTCATTTTTATTCTGTATTTACTTTATATGACTTTCAAAAGCTGTTTTAAGCTAGGCTAACAGAAGTCTTATAACTGCATCCCAACTAACACTATACACTATGCACTTATACACTATGTACTTATGCACTATGTACTCAACCATGTAGTGTATGAATTATACAGTATAAGGTTATTTTGTCATTCATAATTGGAGTCTGACAGCCCCTCCCCCTTCGCAACGTAATTAAAGCTCTGACAGTTAAGTGCAACGTGACGTGTCCAACATTCCACACTTCGTTTTTTCAGTTATTTAAGTGCATCATCTGGGTATTTAAAGTGCACTTTTTTCTTTTCGGAATTTTCAGTGAACACACTACTCGCACTATTTATACTAAAAACGTCATAGAATAGTGCATAAGTGCGCGATTTGGGATGCACCTCAAGTTCTTAAAGGGGTCATATGATGCGATTTCAATTTTTCCTTTCTCTTTGGAGTGTTACAAGCTCTTGGTGCATAAAGAAGATCCGTAAAGTTGCAAAGACTAAAGTCTCAAATCCAAAGAGAGCCGCGCTGTTCTCAAGCCCGCCGGCCGCCGCTCACTCTAGCCGCCGGCCTCCGCTTACTCAAGCCCGCCATGTGAGACGCTATGTGTTTCATTGTGAAAGCGAAACTACTTTGTTTGGCCTTCCAAAAGAGGACACAACTAGAAATCAGTGGTTAAGTTGTATTTACAACACTGTTCCAGAACAGTTCAACCCAAATATTCAGATGTGTGCAGCGCATTTTATGGAGGACTGTTTCCTGATCCTGGTAGACAGACCGATGAGCTTTGTAAAAATCGACGTGTTTCAGAAAGATGGGGCATAGAGGAGAAACAATAATGTACAGTATGTGGAAAATAATGTGGTTTTTGAACCTTAAACCGCATAAACACATTTCATTACACCAAATACACAAAATAATGTTCTTTTTAGCAACATCATATGGCCCCTTTAATTGACATTGACAAAATTATCAATGCTAATCATCCTGTATGTTATAATTATTATTATTGTCTATATTTTATATATTTATATAAAACGTAGGCCTATTTATATTTGTAACTGTGAAATTAATACATACATTTTTAACTAGATAATTTCACTTTTAGCTAGCTTTTAGCCATTTAGCTAAATACTTCTAACATTTGTTTGTTTGTTTGTTTCCAGATGGAGACGGGCTTTATACTCAACTCCGCTAGTGTGGCCTACACAGGAAGTTGTTTGGTCCCCAACGGCAATGCAGTGGCCACACCTGGCAACAGTCCCCACCCCCTTCCTGAGCCACTCCCACCTCCCCCAGACCCTCCGACCACTGGTTTCTACCTCTGAACACACTCAATACAGATCCGTCCGAAAAGATGCCATCAATCATGAGAAGACTGTCAAATAAATAATAAAAAAGACATTCAAAAATGCAATTTTGATTTTTTTAGATTTGCTTATCCACTTGAATAAATCAATTTTAATTTAAATTAAAATGAGCCAGACTGACCTCTGGAATATCAAACCAATTGCTGAATACTCCACCCAAGATAATGTGATAGCACTCTCATTTATATTATTAATTCAGTTATGAATGAATTATGTATCAATTACAGTATATTCGGATTATTTCTCTCAGTGTCATTAATGCTTTTTGAGACGTAGGGAAATTTCTCCAGTTGGCAGATGCAGTTTGTATGTCGTCTGTAACAGGTGCGTGTCGAGATACGTTTGTGTGTAATATGTGTGTGAGATGTCAGTCTCCATTAATTGGGCTTTATTCAAAATTGTTTGCGACTTGCGATGCAACGTCTGTAAATCACGTAAGAGCATGTGCAACGTATAGCTCTTACAAAACTGATTGTCCTGAAACGCAGTAAATGACTGATGTTTATATGAACAGAAGACTGGGATGCATATTTATTTATGGGGAAAAAAGCAAGGGTGTTACCTTCCGTTTACTGAAAGAATACTTATGTGCGATGTCAATAATAAAGCAGTTTAGCAGATGTCACTTGTAGATCTGAACCCCTTCTCTCTATTACATTTTGTGTGATTAGATTTTGAAAAGATGATTCTAGATCAAATTCAACTTACCTTTTAGATACAGGTGTTCATGTGTATAGTGAATCCAGAAGCAACCCAGTCTTGTGACAAACGCGTAATAATTTGTAAGAGTTAACCAGGTAAATCAGATAAATGCATAAAATATGTACATGCAAGTGGACTTGTACATGTTATATTGCCTTTAAATTGATTAGTTGATTTGTCTCAATTACAGTAAAAATCGTGCATTTTATACAAATATAACAGTCAATTGGAGTAAAAATTTTACATTTTGTACATGCCAACATCTACAATATATTACAATTTTTACCACGGTTAACTCATACGATTTGTTTTGATTTGTCTCAATTGAAGTAAAAATCATACATTTTGTAGGAGCGAACTAGTACAATCTACTATGATTTTTAATACAGTTAACTCAAATTATGTGTTTGACATGAGACCATGTTGTCCAGAACTTATGCTTTTCAAAAACCAGGTTTGTTTTGTCCATGAAAAGAGATTCTGGAAGCTGAAATTGTTGAATGTGTTGAGTATATTGTAAAGCAGTTAAAAAAGAAAAAGAATATTTGGTGCTGCAAGGTGTTTAATGAATAATAATGTTAAATGTTATAGTATTATGAAGTCACAGAGAAAATGAATTTCCAGGCCAGCCTCGTTGTTTTTACTTTTCTTTTTTTAAATACATATATATATACTGTATTTGCAGACATTTCCTCTAAGAGGTACCACTGGCTCAACTATGGATTCAAATTTCTTTAACACGTATATCAGAAAACAATATGACAATCATTTACAAAATGTTTAAAGAGTTTGTAAATAGTCAAAAAAAAAAAAGTTATTTCATATTGTTGTAAGCACTATTTTAAAGAGCACTACAACCTAACCAGGTTTTACTTTTTTTCCGGCACAAGATGTAGGCTTCTAGAGAGATGTTTTTTGGAGTAAATATTGTATAATTTTTTTCAGGTTGTGTGTTCTGTTTGTATATTTTAAGAAGAAGTTTTACACTTTAAATAAAAAGAACATGGTGCCATACTGGTAAATTTACTTTCCAGAATTTAAATGTTTTACTATTTGCTTAGAAATTGTCATCCATGTCAATGGTTTGCCATGCTTTTGTTTTTTAATCAATCATATTTGATTTAAAAAAAAAATCACGTCTGGATTTATTTTAATATTCTAACACACTGAAGTAGCAGAGATAATAGGTACATATGCAGTTTTGTCTTTTTGTCATTTGACTGCTTGTTGAAATGTACGATTTGGTCCTTAAATTAAAGAATTTGTGCAATCACAACGGGCCTCCTGCTTTGAAGTTCTTCTAAATCTTGTCAACTCTCATTTGAAAACATTTCTAGGTTCCAAATTTTGTGCGTATCTTCCCATGATCCAAATATCCATTTGTTTTCTACTAAAACCATTGAGTTCTATACCTAGATGAAGTTCTACCAGCTTGGGCAAACTGGTCCAAGTTTCCTACTGCAACAGGAAGTTGGGGCGGGGCATATCGAAAGGCCTGTCCTACAGTGCAAACAACCCAACACATAATTTTGAGAAATCGTAGGCTTTCAAAAGGTAACTTTCTAATGTCTCTCTTGCTTTTATGCTTATAGAGTTTTGAACCGTTAGCTTAGCAACATGCTATTGTTAAAACCTGCAGTCAACAGTGAGGCAAGCCTAATTCACTTCATGAGCATTATTTGTGACTTGTGTAGTCTATGTAGAACTCCAAATCACTTACTTAATAGTTCACTTGACTATAGCTCAACTATGTTCTAGTTGAGCTGACATTTTAGTCAGTATTTCAACAGTTTAGCAGTATTAGCTAGTTATTTTCCCCCCTTTTTGCATTTTTTGAGGTAAAATTATGCTATGGTTATCTATTAGAATTACCCATTGAAAATGAAATTCCTATTGAAGTTCAAACTTCACAGGTCACAGTTACCTGGGGAGACTCGTTCTGGTGTAAATGCAGCTGTCTCACGCGAACGGGGCTCACCAGTTTTCAAACATTCCCTCTCAGCGCTTTTATCCTCACATCTGTATTGATCGCGCCGCGGACCGAACGAACGGTTCCTTTTCACACCTAGCATGGTGTGAATAACAGGCTGGCTGAAAGCAAACAAACATGTAGGGGTGGGCCAGATCGCCACAGGAGACTAAACAAACTACCACCTGAAGAAGTCAGTAAGTGCCAAAGGAAGCAGTTGGTATCACTCTTGTCAACCTAGGACTATTCACCATAATGCTATAATGTGTAGCATCATGCTAAAAAACTGTAGCAAGCGTCGAGCAATTTTATGTTTGTATATGTTCCTATGTAGTGCATGGAGTGCCTTAGAGCATCTAAATAATACAAACCTCTCTATGTATCGTGTGATTTCTGCACACTTGTGACGTGATCAGTCGCTCGAGAGGAATGCTAACTCCTCTCGGTCTCCCTTTAGCTTTAGCAACAGAAGCAGACAAAACAAAGATGTAGAAAGAGAAGCAGAGAGATCCCTGGAGATGGAGCCAGACAGGGACAGGACGAGACTGCGAGAAAGTGACCCAGGTTTAGAGAGGGATGGAAATAAGAATTGGACATGTGTAAAGAGCGGGAATGGAAGATAGATGAAAAGGAGAACAACAAACAAATATCAATTAGCAAGGGACTTAAAGGGATAGTTCACCCAAAAATGAAAATTCTATCATTAATTACTCATCTTCATGTCGTTCCAAACCCGTAAGACCTTTGTTTGTCTTCGGAACACAAGATATTTTTTGATGAAATCCGAGAGCTTTCTGACCCTGCATAGACCGCAATGCAACTACCACTTTCAAGGCCCAGAAAGGTAGTAAGGACGTTGTTAAAATAGTCCATGTAACATCACTTGTTCAACCTTAATTTTATGAAGCTACGAGAATACTTTTTGTGTGCAAAGCAAACAAAAATAACGACTTTATATTCAACAATTTCTTCTCTTCTGTGTCAGTCTTTGATGTGCATTCACTAGGGATGGGCGATATCTTATCGTTTGCGATATACCGGTAAAAATTCTCCCCACGATAAAGGTTGTACAGTGCACAAAAAATCAGTCTGAATAAATGTACTACAGTAGCAAGTGTGCGATACAGTTTTGCATGTGTATGTTAGGGTGACCATACCTGCCATTTTCCCAGGACGCGTCCTGGCCAGGATTTGTTTTGGCTTTGTTTTCCTGGTTTCATGCTTGCTGAAGGTAATGATCGAAAAAACATTGCATTATAAATGTACTTTCCTTATAAAAAATACCCAAGATTGAAGAACACAGATAAACCATATATTTTGTGCAATCGTATGTTTATTTTCCTCAAGTTTCATCAGTTAAAATGTCTCTACCTCTGTTGTGCGTTTTATTCAGCGATAACTGGATATCTTCCTGGAGCATCGTTAGTAGTCTTCATAGCAGACTTCTGCTATGGATATGTGGAGTTTCTGTGCAAGAGCGCCCTCCGGCTTCCAGTATGAATTAAACAGTCTTTACATTACGTGTGAACTCATTAATGCTCACCCTATTTTGGGTAAAAATAGGAAAGATAATACTTTTCTTAAAAGAAACAGGATTCCCTGAATTATCGTCATTGATATCATTATCG